ATTATGCCTGTAAGCAATTTTCATGTTATTTTAATAAATGGTCCTACTAAGAAAATCAATTGAAACATAACTCAGGAAAGTACTTATTTCGTCAACATAAAATCCTGAGGGTATGTCTATTCAGTCAATAAGAATAATTTACAAGGGATTAACCTATAAAGAATAATGAATATATACTGAATCTTTACTAAACCTAGTGCCTGTTCTTTTCAGTGCCTGTTCTATGAATGATTTCGGGACAAAAATGTAGTCTATGTTTGAGAATAAAAGCGGATTCGACATCCTTTCATTCTGATTCCAATTCCAATTTATTTTTCCTGTCTCCATTTGTTTTCAAGTTTCATACAATACAGTTATAAAATAACTGCATGGTTTACTTCTTAATTGACATCTTTACATATTTCAACAAACACATTCCATTTGGCTTCTTCCAGGATTCTTACTGGCTAATCCTGTTAAGTGCAGTGAACCTCATAGTATGTGTTGTATAAGGAACTTGTAGGAGAAATGAACAGGTACACAAAGGGGATTCTTTCAGGGGCTATTTTCCTTCTTTCTATTGATTTCTTAAATTAGGTCCATAAAATGTTGACTTTAATTAATTCAACAACTAGGTAGACTTGCTGAGAGTAAATATGATTGTAAGCTTTTAAAGTAAACAACATATTATTGTATATTTCTTTATGACAATAGTTAAAGGTGTTACAATACCGGCACATTGTTTCTACAAGGTTACATTGAATTAGATGTAATTTTTCGATTTAGGATATTTTGGATTCAGTTTTAGATTCAATTCAGTTTTAGATTTTTTTTTAAATCTCATTCCCTTATGGCAGTATATGTGTGTAGGTATTCATGCCCAGTGTGATTGGCAATGTGACTTTTCCTTCATCATTCAACAGTCACATGCCAGATCATAGGTAACAGGGGGTAGGGAATGTCTAGCTAATCATACAAGCACATCAGCTATTTCTTCACTGACGTACTAAACATCACATGCCTTCATTGATGTGTTTGGAGCTCCTCCCACAGAACAAAGAATGCTTGGTTCTCAGACGAACCCAACAATCAGTTGATGACTTTTTAATAATATAATATAATAATAATAATATGCCATTTAGCAGACGCTTTTATCCCAAGCGACTTACAGTCATGCATGCATACATTTTTGTGTATGGGTGGTCCCGGGGATCGAACCCACTACCCTGGCGTTACAAGCGCCGTGCTCTACCAGCTGAGCTACAGAGGACCACAGTGGAGTTGAGAAAAATCATTCTTAGTAATACAGTATAGACACACGATATGATTAGGCTATCATGATTTAAAGGATTTAGGGTTATCCAGTTGAAGTCGGAAGTTTACATACACCTTAGCCAAATACATTTAAACTCTGTTTTTCACAATTCCTGACATTTAATCCTAGTAAAAATTCCCTGTTTTAGGTCAGTTAGGATCACCACTTTATTTTAAGAATGTGAAATGTCAGAATAATAGTAGAGAGAACTATTTATTTCAGCTTTTATTTATTTCATCACATTCCCAGTGGGTCAGAAGTTTACATACACTCAATTAGTATTTGGTAGCATTGCCTTTAAATTGTTTAACTTGGGTCAAAGGTTTTGGGTAGCCATCCACAAGCTTCCCACAATAAGTTGAGTGAATTTTGGCCCATTCCTCCTGACAGAGCTGGTGTAACTAAGTCAGGTTTGTAGGCCTCCTTGATCGCACACGCTTTTTCAGTTCTGCCCACAAATGTTCTATAGGATTGATGTCGGGGCTTTGTGATGGCCACTCCAATACCTTGACTTTGTTGTCCTTAAGCCATTTTGCCACAACTTTGGAAGTATGCTTGGGGTCATTGTCCATTTGGAAGACCCATTTGCGACCAAGTTTTAACTTCCTGACTGATGTCTTCAGATGTTGCTTCAATATATCCACATACATTTCCTTCCTCATGATGCCATCTATTTTATGAAGTGCACCAGTCTCTCCTGCAGCAAAGCACCCCCACAGCATGATGCTGCCACCCCCGTGCTTCACGTGCTCCTTCCTGAGCGGTATGACGGCTGATTATTTGTACAGATGAACGTGGTACCTTCAGGCATTTGGAAATTGCTTCCAGGGATAAACCAGACTTGTGGAGGTCTACAATTTTTTTCTGAAGTCTTGGCTGATTTCTTTAGATTTTCCCATGATGTCAAGCAAAGAGGCACTGAGTTTGAAGGTAGACCTTGAAATACATCCACAGGTACACCTCCAATTGACTCAAATGATGTCAATTAGCCTATCAGAAGATTCTAAAGCCATGACATCATTTTCTGGAATTTTCCAAGCTGTTTAAATGCACAGTCAACTTAGCGTATGTAAACTTCTGACCCACTGGAATTGTGATACAGTGAATTATAAGTTAAATAATCTGTCTGTAAACAATTTTTTGAAAAATTGCTTGTGTCATGCACAAAGTAGATATCCTAACCAACTTGCCAAAACTATAGTTTGTTAACAATACATTTGTGGAGTGGTTGAAAAACGAGTTTTAATGACTCCAACCTAAGTGTATGTAAACCTCCGACATCAACTGTATGTATGATATGTCATGTGATAAAGAGGGAAAAGAACAGGAAACCAAAAATCCTATCTGTAATTATGCAAATGCCATATCAAATCAGTCTACTGTGGATTTCATATCTGGCAAAAACAACCTTATTGTCACGATCGTCGTTACAGGAAGCGGACCAAGGCGCAGCGTGTGAAATAAACATGACTTTATTTAATTAAAGCACGAAAACCAAAACAAAACACGACTCGTGAAGTCCACGGTAAAACATACCGACACGGAACAAAAACCCACAACACCCAAGAGAAAACACACAGATTAAATATGGCTCCCAATCAGAGACAACCAGCCGACAGCTGACACTCGTTGCCTCTGATTGGGAGTCACACATGCAAACATAGACATAGACAACCTAGAACAACCCACATAGAAAATGAACACATAGAATGCACACACCCTGGCTCAACATAAAGAGTCCCAGAGCCAGGGTGTGACAGTACCCCCCCCTAAAGGCGCGGACAGCGACCGCGTCTAAACAAAACCCCAAACAGGGGAGGGCTGGGTGGGCATTCCTCCTCGGAGGCGGCTCCGGCTCCGGCCTTGACCACCACCCCTCCATCACTCCCCCGTAGCGCCCCTGATCCGGTCTGACCCCGCTGGCTGGATCTGGACTGGACATTGACGGAGCGGATTGCTTACGCTCCGTTGTGGAGCAGCTGACCGGTCTTACCAGGCTGACGACTCGCACCCCGGGCTTGGTGCGAGTAGCAGGAACGGGCTGAACCAGGCTGACGACTCGCACCCCTGGCTTGGTGCGAGTGGCAGGAACGGGCTGGACCAGGCTGACGACTCGCACCCCTGGCTTGGTGCGTGGAGCAGGGACAGGCCGGGCTGGGCTGGCGACGCACCCCGTAGGCTTAGTGCGTGGAGCAGGGACAGGCCGGGCTGGGCTGGCGACGCACACCGTAGGTTTGGTGCGTGGAGCAGGGACAGGCCGGGCTGGGCTGGCGACGCACACCGTAGGTTTGGTGCGTGGAGCAGAGACAGGCCGGGCTGGGCTGGCGACGCACCCCGTAGGCTTAGTGCGAGAGGCAGGAACAGGCCGGACCGGGCTGGAGACGCGCACCGTCCATTTGGTGCGAGGGGCCGTAACAGGCCGGACCGTACTGGGGACACACACCACTGGCTCTACTCCGGGAACTGGAACGGGCCGGACCGGACTGGTAACACACCCCAGTACCTCTCGCCGTGCCTCTAAACCTCCTTTCCCTACTTTGACCAGTGGCCCCCGTAACCTGGTGGCCTTTTGAATACGCCCCTTCTCTGCCTCCGTCAGCCCCGTCGTCCATGCCCTGTGCCCCTCCCTAAAAAATTATTGGGGGTGCCTCTCGTCCGTCCGACGATGGCACTGCTGACGCCGCTGCTCCTCTCTCGCCAGGGCCTTGATCCTACCCCAAGGTCCCTTGCCCCCGAGCATGTCCTCCCAGGACCACACTTTGCCCACCTGGGCCATCGCCAGCCTCTCCATCTCCTTTCCCGGCGCTTCCTCCCATGTCCAGTCTGCCTGCTCCTGGACACGCTGCTTGGTCGTTGTATGGTGGGTTTTTCTGTCACGATCGTCGTTACAGGAAGCGGACCAAGGCGCAGCGTGTGAAATAAACATGACTTTATTTAATTAAAGCACGAAAAACAAAACAAAACACGACTCGTGAAGTCCACGGTAAAACATACCGACACGGAACAAAAACCCACAACACCCAAGAGAAAACACACAGATTAAATATGGCTCCCAATCAGAGACAACCAGCCGACAGCTGACACTCGTTGCCTCTGATTGGGAGTCACACATGCAAACATAGACATAGACAACCTAGAACAACCCACATAGAAAATGAACACATAGAATGCACACACCCTGGCTCAACATAAAGAGTCCCAGAGCCAGGGTGTGACACTTATAAATGAGAAATTACTCTAAGTAGAATTGATGACTAGATTACAGTTATAAGAAGGTTATCATGATAGTTATACTTTTTTAAAATTGTAGTTCACTGATGCTCTTACCAACACTCCATGTATTTTGGCCTGAGGCATTTCTCTGGTATGAGTCAAGCTCATAGTTGTCTGGTGTCAGGTGACTACCACAAGACCTTAATCCTTTCTGCCCATCCTTAAAGAGAGCACATGAATTGGAGGCTTTGTTAAAGCTGATGAGAGCGACCGGAACACAGTCTACTCTCAGGCTGGCTCCTAGTTAACATCTATGGCTGTAGCCAAATGTTGAATACACTACTGGAGGAGCGTTTCATATTTAATTCCATGCACTTTTGGAGAAACTAATTGAGCTTTTGGAGGAAGTAACTAATTAAGCATTGCTGTGAACTGGTGTACAAAATCGATTTTTTTAGGCAGAAGGTAGAAGATTACAGCAGTGTTGAAGACGATGAGGGCTCTTGTGCTGGGGTTGGTCTGTTTTGTGACATGGTCTGGTTCTACAGAGGCTCAGTTTCCTCGAGTGTGTAGCACGGTGGAAGGGATCGTCTCAAAGCAGTGCTGCCCTGCCCTCGGCTCTGACCCTGCTAACATTTGTGGACTTTTATCTGGACGAGGAAACTGCTCCGGCATCAGAGTCAGTACCAAACCCTGGGGTGGACCATATAGGTTGAGAAATGTTGATGATCGAGAAAGGTGGCCAACCAAATTCTTCAATCAGACATGCAGGTGCTCTGGTAAGTAACATATTAATAAATGTTACATTTAAGTGTTAATAGCAAATCAGTGTTTAAAATTGCATAAAATATGTTTTGTTTAGATCACATTATAATTCATTGTTAAAGGGTAATCAATGTTAAATTGCCTTTATAAATTGTGATTATTGGGAAGAAGTATGTAAAATATTTCAAGACTGTTGGGTGAACTTTGAGACCATATAATTACCCTAAAATTGATGGTTGAACTGCATGTATTTGACAATAACATATCATAGATACATTTATCATATTAATGTATTAATTTCTCACATTTATTCCAATCAGATTTATTTACAGAAAACCACATTTCTTGACCATTCCCATAGTCTTGACATGGTTTGGTTTATATTTGGCCTATATTCCCTCCCTGTGTCTAGGTAACTTTGGTGGCTTTGACTGTGGCCAGTGTAAATTCGGCTGGAAAGGACCAAACTGTGACGTGCGTAAATCCCCGGTGGTGAGGAAGAACATCCACTCTCTGACTCCAGCTGAGCTCCAGGAGTTCCTGGATGTGTTGGACCGGGCCAAGAACACCACCCACCCAGACTATGTCATTGCCACACAGCACTGGCTGGACCTGCTGGGGCCCAATGGAACCCAGCCCCAGTTCTCCAACATCTCCATCTACAACTTCTTTACATGGCAGCACTACTACTCTGTCAGAGACACACTTTTAGGTAAAACACCAACTAATTCCTTTTTGGTTGAAACATGAATGAAAATGAAAGTTAAATGTTATAAATGACTCACTTGCTATGTTACTTACTAGTTGTGAGTTATATATGACTCTCTATGTACTGGAAAGCTAGCAGAAGAGAACATTCAGAAGTTGCTCATAAACAACCTTATTTGTTCCTTCTGTAGGTCCAGGTCGTCCGTTCAAGGCCATTGACTTTTCCCACAAAGGACCAGCGTTCGTCACCTGGCACAGATACCACCTCCTCAGTCTGGAGAGAGACCTGCAGGTAAGAGTGAATTTGAATGCTGAGGACATGAAGAACAAAATAGCGTCAAACATTGATGAGAGTAAAAGTAAAAGTTTCCTCTCTTCTGCAGAGACTGACTGGCAATGAGAACTTTGCTGTTCCATTCTGGAACTTTGCCACAGGGCAGACTGAGTGTGACGTCTGTACAGACTCCCTCCTGGGGGGGCACAACCCAGATGACTCCTCCCTCATCAGTAACCAGTCCAGGTTCTCCAATTGGGGAGTGGTGTGTGACAGGTGCGTTGTTGGATAGAAATGTGTTTAAAACCTTGTGGGCATGTTTCCTAGAAACAGATTAAGCCTAATCCTGGACTAAAAACATGTTTACTGAAGGATTTCCATTGAAAGTGCATTTTAATCCAGGACAAGGCTTAATTAATGTCTAGGAAACCAGCCCTGTATGTATATAATATACCTGTGCTGTTTATGCTTTGTGCACCTATGCTGGTTGTTATACTACTGGGTACACGTTCATCATGTTTTCTTTTTTTTTACCAGACTCACTGTCCCTTAAAATGTTGCTTGAATCTTTCCCCCTCCCCAGCATGGATGACTATAACCGCCTGGTCACTCTGTGTAATGGGACCAGTGAGGGACGTATAAGGAGAGGTCAGATGGGAGGAGCGAGGACCAACATGAGTCTGCCGACCATGAGTGATGTCAGGAGCTGTCTAAACCTCAGAGACTTTGACAACGCTCCCTACTATATTAACTCTACCTTCAGCTTCAGGCAACCTAAACGGTTCACATTGACCTTACACACTCACCTATAGGGTGTTATTCAATGAAGTCAAGTCAAACTCTCTAAATTGCATTGTTTGTGACTTCTCCTGTACAGGAATTCTCTTGAAGGCTATGACAAGCCAGATGGAGAGGCGGCGCTTGACTCCTCAGTGAACAACCTGCACAACCTGGTCCACTCCTTCCTCAGTGGAACCAGTGCTCGGTCTCACGCTGCAGCCAATGACCCCATCTTTCTGGTAATTATCTAGTCTGTGTGGTTGCCTATGAGTCCATGTATTTGACTTTCATGTGAGATAATGTAAAGTATTTGGCACTTGGTCAGATTTCTGTGCAGACGATGCAAAAAATGTTTTACAGTTACATAACACTCTCGCTATAGGTGCTCCATGCTTTCACTGATGCCATTTTCGATGAGTGGATGAGGAGGTCTGTTCCGCCAAACTCCAGTTTCCCAGATGAGATGGCTCCCATTGGTCACAACAGACATTATAACATGGTGCCATTCTTCCCTCCTGTGACCAATGAGGAGGTTTACGTGGCTTCTGATCAACTGGGATATTCTTATGCCATTGAACTCGATGGTCGGTGATTTTCACAGACAACTTTGCAATTAAATAATCGTATTTTCTTTTGTTTTATTAGCAGGTCAATGAAATAAGAACACTTTGATAAAGATCTTTGTTGCATTAAATCTCTTCTTCTTCTTCTATCCTCAGCTACAGATGGTGGATTTGTGTTTGTGCTGGGGTCCACTCTGGGTGGTGTTTTCCTGGGTCTCCTGGTTCTTCTACTCGTCCTGCTGCTCTACTTGCAACAACGTAGGAAACATGGCTTTGAACCCCTTATCAAAGCCGAGTTCACCAACAAAAGGTACACAGAGGAAGCCTAGAGGCCGTAGGCACACTTTGGCAGTGTTTTTTGCACAAATACATAGAGTAGCCAGCCAAATAAAAAACATAGCCAGCCATGCGTCCCTGAGCAAAGGGGGGTCTGGGGGGGTTAACCCATTTTTTTTTCTCCTGAAGGAGCTCTATTTTGGTGGCCTCTGATGCCTTGATTCCATCTGAATACTTTATCGAGTTTACCTCCCAGATTGGAAAAATGAGTTGTTGTATTGTGTAGAAAGACATGACTTTACCATTTGTATTACTGAAAATGTATGAATTCAGAGTTTTGTTAGTTGTTTTGTATGTCGTCTAGGTCATAGGCCTATATGATCAGGACTATCTTCTAAGTAAGAGAACATTAAACCTTTTTTAACATTTAACCTGTCTTCTCTTGAGATTAAAGTCTTATTTACAGTTTTGCTGCAAGATACAGTGGCTTGCAAAAAGTATTCACCCCCCTTGGCATTTTTCCTATTTTGTTGCCTTACAACCTGGAATTAAAATTGATTTTTTGGGGGGTTTGTATCATTTGATTTACACAACATGCCTACCACTTTGAAGATGTAAAATATATTTTTTTGTGAAACAAACAAGAAATAATACAAAAAAAACAGAAAACTTGAGTGTGTATAACTATTCAACCCCCCAAAGTCAATACTTTGTAGAGCCACGTTTTGCAGCAATTACAGCTGCAAGTCTCTTACGATATGTCTCTATAAGCTTGGCACATATAGCCACTGGGATTTCTGCCCATTCTTCAAGGCAAAACTGCTCCAGCTCCTTCAAGTTGGATGGGATCCGCTGGTGTACAGCAATCTTTAAGTCATACCACAGATTATCAATTGGATTGAGGTCTGGGCTTTGACTAGGCCATTCCAAGACATTTAAATGTTTCCCCTTAAACCACTCGAGTGTTGCTTTAGCAGTATGCGTCCCTGAGCCATGCGTCCCTGCTGGAAGGTGAACCTCCGTCCCAGTCTCAAATCTCTGGGACTGTATTTAGCGCCATCCATCATTCCTTCAATTCTGACCAGTTTCCCAGTCCCTGCTGATGAAAAACATCCCCACAGCATGATGCTGCCACCACCATACTTCACTGTGGGGATGGTGTTCTCGGGGTGATGAGAGGTGTTGGGTTTTCACCAGACATTGCGTTTTCCTTGATGGCCAAAAAGCTGAATTTTAGTCTCATCTGACCAGAGTACCTTCTTCCATATGTTTGGGGAGTCTCCCACATGCCTTTTGGCGAACACCAAACGCGTTTGCTTATTTTTTTCTTTAAGCAATGGCTTTTTTCTGGCTACTCTTCCGTAAAGCCCAGCTCTGTGGAGTGTACGGCTTAAAGTGGTCCTATGGACAGATACTCCAATCTCCGCTGTGGAGCTTTGCAGCTCCTTCAGGGTTATCTTTGGTCTCTTTGTTGCCTCTCTGATTAATGCCCTCCTTGCCTGGTCTGTGAGTTTTGGTGGGCGGCCCTCTCTTGGCAGGTTTGTTGTGGTGCCATATTCTTTCCATTTTTTAATAATGGATTTAATGGTGCTCTGTGGGATGTTCAAAGTTTCAGATATTTTTTGATAACCCAACCCTGATCTGTACTTCTCCACAACTTTGTCCCTGACCTGTTTGGAGAGCTCCTTGGTCTTCATGGTGCCGCTTGCTTAGTGGTGTTGCCGACTCTGGGGCCTTTCAGGACAGGTGTAAATATACTGAGATCATGTGACAGATCATGTGACACTTAGAATGCACACAGGTGGACTTTATTTAACTAATTATGTGACTTCTGAAGTTAATTGGTTGCACCAGATCTTATTTAGGGGCTTCATAGTACATATGCACGCACCACTTTTCCGTTATTTATTTTTTAGAATTTTTTAAACAAGTTATTTTTTTCATTTCACTTCACCAATTTTGACTATTTTGTGTATGTCCATTACATGAAATCCAAATAAAAATCTATTTAAATGACAGGTTGCAACAAAATAGGAAAAACGCCAAGGGGGCTTAATACTTTTGCAAGGCACTGTATGAATTGCCACAATGATGTTTGTTCTTCAAATTATGTATTTTATTAAAACAGAAAAATTAAGTAAATAGCCCACAATATCTTGAAAATAAATTAAAGGTTTTGTTTTTCCAGTTCTCTTTTCCCAGTTTTTTCAGGTTTTCGCTCTCAAAATCACACTTTTTTTTACCCTTAAAAGTCTAAGCCGTTGGGGGAGGGTTCTACTAAGCTAACATATACTGAACAAAAATATAAATGCAACAATTTCAAAGATTTTACTGAGTTACGGCTCATATAAAGGAACTCACTAAATTGAAATAAATTTGCTTTTTGTGCACATGGAAAATGTCTGGAATCTTTTATTTCAGCTCATTAAACATGGGACAAAAACTTTACATGTTGTGTTTATATTTCTGTTCAGTGTAAATTGATTTTTTTTTATGGTCACACCATGGATCATTTAGCTATTTGAATTTGAATTGTAGGACCTCAGTAGGTATTCCAACAAAATCAATCATAAGGAGTAAGGTTTTGAAGTGTCTGTCCTATATCTGTTAGTAAGGATTTAATGCACATATATAAGAATGCTCAGGAATATATACACTACAGGTCAAAAGTTTTAGAACACCTACTCAATCAAGGGTTTTTCTTTATTTTTACTATTTTATACATTGTAGAATAATAGTGAATACATCAAAACTATGAAATAACACCTATGGAATCATGTAGTAACCAAAAAAGTGTTCAACAAATCAAAATATATTTTATATTTGCGATTCCTCATATAGCCACCCTTTTCCTTGATGATAGCTTTGCACACTCTTGGCATTCTCTCAACCAGCTTCACCTGGAATTCATTTCCAACAGTCTTGAAGGAGTTCCCACATATGCTTAGCACTTGTTGGCTGCTTTTCCTTCACTCTGCAGTCTGACTCATCCCAAACCATCTCAATTTGGATGAGGTCTCTCTCACCGAGCTTCGGTAGGCTACACTCGCTATGTTTCCATTAACTTGTCCAGTGATTTTTTTGTCAAAAGTCATAAAGTTTGCATTGAAAAAAAATATGCGACAATTGCCTGCTAGGGTGCGTTTCCATTTAACTATCGTGTCGATAAAAACAGCTGAACATGATGATGTCACATATAAAAAATTAAAAACAAATTGTGGTTGAAGTGTTTCCATTACCTATTTAGGCAAATTGCACATTAATACATTGGCGACAGCGGTATGCCCTCCCACCTATCAGTTTCATGTCTCAGGTAGCCAGTGAAAGCCAGCATGGATAGAATGCAATAATATACTAATATTTGCCATGTTCTAATAATTATCATGTGCCTAACATATCCCCACAGATATAGCGCCCATACACTATCGGCTGCCTAGGCTAGTCCGTGCCGTGGTGAAACTTGCACTCCTGTAGATCTGAAATAATTGAATGGTGAAACTTTCCAGCCAACCAGAAAAGCAAGGCCAAGCAATTCAGGCGTTCTTGAAAGTCAGGACAATCACTGTCCTGCAAAGAAACATAATTTTGATAGTTGAATTTTTTTTTTGAATTAAATGTGGAGTGGAGCTTATTGTTACGTGATGACATCACGTGCCCCACGTACATTCAAAAGTATTCGGCGATCATAATTGATTCTTAAAACACTTTTTCCATCATCATTTGTCGCAATAAAGAAAGTTTGACAAAAGACAAATCCACTTGTCAAACGGATAACATTTTTGTAGGTCTCTGGAAAACGTATCCTATATCTGCCGTTTCCATCACACATGGCGTAATATTTTTTTTGTTGCGACATTGCTTTTGTCTAATAAACCTGGGTCAATGGAAACCTGCCTACTGACTGACGAGACGAGAGTCACTCTCTTTAGCGTTACTGTCTGGCAAGCACCGGCATCCTAGGAAAGGACACATAGGAAATCCTTTGGTTTACTTGTCCCGATGCGATACCATGGCATGGACGTATAACCATGTCGCATGATTTATGAATGTTAAAGGGATATAGTAGATGGACTTTATTCAGTTAGTTAGACCTAAACTATTCAACACTTGCTGTTCAGTTGTCAATCAACACACAGTAAATAGCCTACTATGCGCCACGACTTGCATGGCTGGCTATGTGAAACACGCCAAAGAAAACAAATGAATGTGTCAGAAAACAATAATTAGGCTCATCGTTACAACTTACATTACATGGGACGTGCAAATTCCCAAGCATCATACTTTCCTCCGTGTAAAGAAATTAGACTGCAACCAGAGGTCTGTATATAATGACGAGATCCTCACGTCTCCACCCTAACAATGGGAGTTGTTGTCCCAAAGGCGGGAAGGCAGGTGACAAGCTTAGGTTCAAAATAAGTCAATGGATAGCACTGTAAAGTCACCAGGAACAATGTGAAACCTGCAGATAGCACTGTAAAGTAGAATTCATATGTATATGTGATTCATATATTTTCATGCTTTAGCTGTTATGCATGATACAAACTTGAATTTGCTCGCACCCTGTCATACAATACATTATTGATGGGAATTTACAGTACAATGTATTACAGTGCTTTGCTTATCGTTGTATCTACGCTACCCTGATGATTACAAATTATTTAATAATATGATATTGTCACCTATATCTCATTATAACCCGTAAGATTGACATTATCCTGTGTTTTCCCCCAAGTGAAGAATCCGTTATAATATACAGTATACGTTATTTTTTGTATTATGCATTTCAATAATTGTTTCTTGAAATTACAACTGTAAGTCAGCAAATTGCAAAGCTGTTATCATCTTTTTAATAAATATTTATTTGCAAGAAAGAGTAACAAAACACGGATGCAACCATTTTAATTGCATTAAAAAACTGTAAGGCATTTTTGTTTGTATGGTCTTTATGTTAACTAGGTCATCAACCTTATTGGCTTGAATC